TAGTTCCTTGGCTGCCGCGATTCGTGGGAAGAGGGTTAGAGGGTCATCAACATAAAATAGAAGATTCATTTGCATTCCTCTTGATACCTTAGAAAATTACCTCTACTCTTGGATATTTAACTCTAATTGCATGGAATAATTTTAAGAGAAGAAATAAATTATCACTTTTCAGTTTCATATTATTTGCCAATAAATATATTTTCTATAGTAAAAGTATACATTTATGTATTTTCTATAACAGATGTATATTACTACTTGACAACTTTTAAACAGAGTTTCGCTTATTTATAGTGTCTACTAATAGATTATTGTATTTAAATCCAAATTAGATATAATAGATGAAGAAGAAAAAATGAAGAAACAAAATTTAAAGATTAAAATTTGAATACCACACTTTTATCTTTAAAACTTAAATGTATAATAATAATTATACATAATTAGATTTTAATGAAACATTTAAAATGTTGGCTGCAATTAGCTTAAACGTTGTTCCAATGTGAAAATAGTTTGATGAAGCATGTAAATCTTCAAGAGAGAAGAAAATTAATTCGCAGAATTGTCATGTCGAAGAGCTAACAATATGTTCTCATTAATTAAGGATGTCAGGGGGACGTTGAAAGTGGTGAAGAGAAGAAAAAAAAATCGATGTTACGATTGTCAGTTCCACGGCTGTGTCTAACGAAGTTCGATAGAAAATCCGGTAGTACGGAAATCGAACCAATTATAATTAAAAGTTGTATAACGAGAAGAGCTCTCTTAGCTCTTTTCTATCTCTAATTCTAATTTTTTGGCTATGAATTCTAAGAAATCATATTACTTATGTTTTTCGATAATTTTGTTAATTATAATACTTTATAATGTAATTGTTATTATATATACAAGAAAAAACAATGATTATAATTTATAATATAAAAAGATATTTATGATTATGATATTTAAAATGGATTAGTAAGTATAAAAGTTAAAAATTCTAAAAATCCTGCCAAGCACTTTGAAACACTAATTCAGTAATATCGTCGTTCTTCTAGACTGAGAGAAAAGAATAGAATTTTTTATATCGGCCAGACCATCGAGTGTTGGTCGAGGTTTAACAAATTTTTTTTGTGGCCGAGAGAACGGGTTATTTTCATGTAACTCGTAAAACTCGAATGTAATATCAGTACAAAAAGCTGGGAAGTAGGCCAACCGTGTAAATGACCTCAAATGAAACGCATTCTTGCATCCAAACAAGTTTTTTTCTTCGTATAATGGTCGCTGGAAGAGCCAACGCTTTATAGATCTTAAAAAAAACTTGAATCACTTCGTTAATTTTTACAACAAGATATTTTTTACAAAATATTACTAAATCTTACTTAAATTAAAAAATTTAATTAAATAGTAAAATTTCAAAAATATTTTTTCTCTGATCTTCTTCATTCATTCAGAAAATTCAATTTTGAGAAATTAAAAGAAAGGCGTAAAGCTTTTATTAGAGTCTAGAATATTTCAAAAATATTCCAATACTATGTTTTAGAATTATTATTATCACAAAGATAAAAATTTCTAAAAATTAACAGAAGAACATAAAGGAGCATAAAGATCATTTATTTAATTATTTCATTTTTAAAGATACACGACGCAAAAATATAGTACAAGATGCGATAATATGATCAAGTGTAACTAAAAATATCATGAGAGGAAATAATAAAAATTGCAGAGATAAAAAGGAAGTCATAAAACGTCGAGCTCCTAGTGAGTTAAAGACACTTGCAGGTTAAACTTATTTCTGGGAAAGACAAGGCGTCTGAAATTCCCGTTTCTGTTTTGGGGCTATCAAACTGGAGAGAAACTTCGCCAAGCTTTTTCCCAACCTCGACAATGGCCCAGTGAAATAAAGACGCGAGGACTTTAATAACAGAGACCAGCAAGGGAAGGCAGACAAATAGCCGGCTTTCCCTTTGTGCCGTGAAAGAGGCGCAACCTCTTTTTTTTTCTCTTTCTATGTTATCCCACCAAAGATATCCCGCCAGAAATTTCGTTTCGAGGCCTTGAAGTGTCGTTAATTTGTATGGAAATACAGGATGGATTATAAACCATAGGTTGGCTTTCTTAAGATAACTTGAAGGCATATTATTCCACGAAGAGATGATGGATAATAGTGAAAATCATTTTAGAATGTTCACCGCGATGTTTTGTTGGAGCTAATGTTCTTATAATGAAATATAAAAAGTAAAATTTTAAGATAAATATTAAATGTTATTCATTTTTTGTATATTTATATGTGTTATATATATATTTTTTATATATTTTTATACGTATATATTATTTGTCCCAACAACGGCTGACTTATAATGCTTGTTGAAATAATGGTTGATCTATACTACTTATCGAACAATATATTTATTATATTTTATATTATAATATAGTATTATATATTTTTAAATTTTTATATTTGGTATTATGTACGATACAATATATAGAAATACAAAAAAAATAAGTATTATATGTATATAAATATGATATATAGAAACACCAAAAATGTATAAAATATATATAAAAATTATTAATAATATAAATATATAGATCTCCGGCGACATATAAATTCTTGTTAAAGTTTGTAATGAATAGCTTTAACAAGACAAATAGTAAAATTAATCAAAAATTGCTATCTCATAAATAATTTTATGAAGAAAATATAGACAAGGAAAGTAAATAAAGAGAAAAAGACAGAGATAATGTAAAAATATAGAAATCAGCGCCATCTCTAGAGTGCCATAAATGAAACACACAAAAAAAGGATAGGAAATGATAAAAAAGGATAGAGATAGGATAAGAATTGATCTACACCGCCATCTCTTGAATATTAATAACATCTACTTAAAGATAAGGTAAGGTAGAATAAAAATTAAAGATAAATCAAAATATGATGCTCAAAAATAACGTTGATCTTTAACTTTTATTCTATTTTATCCTGTTTTTAAATATTTAAGAATTCAAGAAATGGTCTTGTTGATCGATTTTTAAATTTATATTGTAAAATTCTGCTAATAATATTCTGTCGATAATAGTTTACAACAAGTTTGAAGATTTTTCAAAGAGATGGCGTTAAATAATACGAAATATAGTTTTAAACTACATTTAATTAGGCAGATTAATTTTTTTTATTTACTTTATCATTTATTTTATTTAGATGCATAAATTCAATATGTCTCCTTTGAATATTTTTTTCGTAACTAATACCTTGCATCATAGGAATATGAAAAGAAAAACTTTGTACTAAATTTACATAGAGGGGGTGACCATAAATAACTTCATCTGAAAGAAATAATATAACCTATTCATAAATTGAAATAAATAATATTTAATAATTAATTAAAAATAATAAGAAAATGACAGATTATTTAGCAAAACCTGCTTTCGTTGTTGGAGAAATTGACGAGGATTTTAACCTATCCTTGCCTCCAACTTCCGGAGAAGAATATATTAAAAGAGTAGTGTAAGTAAAAGATTAAACAATTATCAAAAAACGAATAATTAAATTTATGGTATTATTACAGAATAGAAGCGCAGAAATGTGCTGATATTGTAGTAGCCGACATTGATCGGAAACATTTTGGAAAACCTACAATTGATGTCGAACCTGTAAGTTTGCAAACGATGTTTTACAATCGTTTATACAAGAAATTAGAATTCTATACTTGTTAGAATTTAAACAACATATATAATAATTATGTAAACGCAACGTTATAAGTTATCAGGCTGTATGGAGGCACCACCATGGCTTGGCCCTTCGCTTGATTGGCAGTTGTATCAAGTATCAGATTTTTCCAATATCAGATTATATATAAGTCAATTAAAAAACGAAATTCAATCATTAAAACGTAAATGGAAACGTCCAAAGATTGATATGGTATTTGCTAAAATATTTTTTGAATGATTGTTTGTTATTTATTTGTCTTGATGTTAACATGTTAATTTTACAGCCAAGTATTGATGATGAAAAAGGTTGGATCAAATTTTGTTCAAGTAATGAAAAGGAAAAAACAAGAATTGCTCCAACATTGGATACCATCTTTTGTTTAAATCATCCAGAAGTAGAACAAATATTAGAATATTTAGTGGAACATATTGAAACACTGGAAAAGATAGAATATGAATTGGGTCAATGGATATATGCGTTGCTAGTTGTTCTGCAAATGCCACTAACTCCAGATACATGTTCCTGTTTAAGATCCTTGGCTAGAACATGTTCAATCATGCGTGCAAAATCGGTAATAAAGAATATTAGAAAAGCAATATTTTTTATTTTTTAACAAATCAATTTTATTGCATATTTGTATATTAAATTTGTCATTGACATTAATCAGGAAGTAAATTAAAATAGTAGTTCAAAAAAAAATTTATCATTTGTATTAAAACGAAACATAAAAATTGTTTACAGATTTTTCTTTTAATTAATTCATTATTTAATAAGCAGAAGATTCCAACTTCGGATTTAAATTAATTTCCATATGCGTTAAATAAAATCTATTCGTGAAAATTAATAATTTGATTTCAATTTAATTTAAATTTCCAACAAACTGCTTTATATTTTGCACTTATTAATAAATTTAATTAAAAATCATTTATTTTTTTATTTAATGTTACCAACAAATGCAAAACGAAATAACTTGTTCTAAAAATTTCGTAAAAATCGATAATCCGAAGTTGGGTCATTTCTTATGAATTTTAATTCTGTCTACTTTTTTATTCTTTTTTCTGGTTTATTTTTTTAGAAGAAACTGGAAATACATGAAATAGGAGCACTGAATTTATTTATATGTCTAGTTGCGAGATATTTCCGTCAATTGGATTTGGCCGATCCTTAAAACCATCTAATTTTTATTGAAGTGCAATTTAAATTATTTACTTTGTGTATGATTTAATAAAATCGACCTTTTAATACATTTGTATTGTTTTTTTGCACACCTTTCCCTTTACTTAAAATATACTACTGGTTATTAGGGTACAATGAGGCAACATTTTTTAATTAAATAAAAGTGTATTACAATAATCAAATAATAAGTGAGAAATTGAAAAACCGAAGTTTATTCTTAAGCTATATTCTCTTGGTCCTGAAGAAGTGCAGTTGCTAATCTTTCTAAGTCATCATAACTAAGATTATTCACTTTATTTTTTAGGTCTTTTATCAATTCATTGATTATTGACTCTGTTTCTGATTCTGTATAATAATGCCTCAGAACTCTAGAAATTTCATCTCGTAAGAGATACATGCCAGACTTGCTATGTGAAGCCTTTCCCTCACTAGATCCTTCCTCTGTCTTTTTAATGACCAAAAGATTTAACTTGCTTCCATCTTTGATTCCTGGATAAAAACTTAATGGATTTTCATCTGAAAATTTGTTTCATCAAAATATTAAAATATTGTTCATCTAAAAATCTAATATTTTCTTTGTAATTTGAATCTCACCAGCTAATGCTTTGCCCGTAAGCAACAGTCTCTGATGTGGAACATCTATACCCAAAAGATCGCTGACTTTGTGCTTTAACTGAAGAACTGTATCCGAAGGTGTAATCTATTACAATAAACAATTACTCAATAAAATTTCAACATGCCATAAAATGTATTTAACCAGCATTAAAACCATTTCAAATGTGAAAAGACATCAAAATTAAATGATTATTTTAAAATATGGAAAAGATACCATCTTTGAATCTGACAAATTTCTAGAAACATCGTCAGCGGCTGACAAAAAAGTTTATCGTATAACGTTTCTTGTAAATATAAAAAAAAGAATCCAAGGTGCTGAGTACTCACGTCAACAACGCATTCTTTTCCTTGAAGCTTCTTCACGATAACTTTCATGATGTAATGTGCACGCCGAAGCGTCCGTAAACCAAAACGAATGTGTAAAATCAAATTCTTCTCAAGAACGGGACCTTTAATGACACCGATAAGGATTCGAGCATTTTATTGTGAGGTTATATTTTGCGACACACGATATTACTAACACACGGCGTCATCAACTATTTCTACCGAGGACACGCGTACACATGCACACAGGTAGTCAGAAACCCTTAGACGTGCAAATACAGAAGTCGATACTGAACGTTCTTTATCGATAGATACGTGTCATCGAGATTTCCCTTTTCTTCTCTTTTTAAATATTTAATCGATCATTTTATTAAATTCTTGTAAAATATCTCGAAACATTGTGAATTTTTTAATTTTATTAATTATTCTTTTACTATTTAAGAAAACGATATTCATTTGTATCAAAAAATCATTTATTATATTTCGATACGATTTATCGATACTCATGTCATAAATTTTGGCGGTTAGTCTAAATGTTAATATTTTATTTTGAGGTTAAGTTTTACGTTTTTCGACTGATAAAAAACACATAAACATTAAGAAGAACAAAACAAATATTATGAGTAATGTTAAAGAAATGACATTGGACGAAAATTGTATTAATCATTCTAATGATATTAAAATTACCTGTAGAGAAGATCTAACCCCGTATTTTAAAGCCTGGGATCACAGCAACAATAAAGTTCACTTGTCAAAGGTAAATATGTATATATATATTTTATATATATATATACACACACACACATATATATATATAATAAAAAAGAAGAATATGTTTTATTTATTCCAATGAAATTTTCTGTTTTCTTATTTTTCTTATTTTCTCATTTAATTCAATTGTTAGTTTCTTAAAATATCATTGAAATCATAACATAATATGAGGTTATTAAGTATTGATAAAATTTAGAACATAGCTTGTTTTTTTTAAATAAATGCTAAAAACATGATAAACACTATTTCAAACAGCATGCAACTTTCTATTGTTATATAACTTTTAATTGCCTTTTTACAAATATAAAATAATATAAATTATAAATATATCATTAATAAAATATATAAAATATTTAAAAATATTTGTAAAAATGATTAAATTTTAGAAATAATTTTCAAAAAAATAATGATTGAAAAAGAGCAAATAAATAATTATATTATATATATATATATATATATTCTATTATATTAATATAAGAATATAAAATAAACTTTTTACAAATAAATATTATTTAATTGTTAAGCCATTGATTTTTTCAATAATACATTTCTAATAAATATTCGTTCGTGAATAATTTTTCAAACGAAATGTTAACTTCATCTTCTCCATTTCAAATTTTTTTTTAGGTACCACAAATATGTAAAGATGAACCGTGTCAGCTTGGTATCGACGAGGCTGGACGTGGGCCAGTCCTTGGGCCCATGGTTTATGGAATTTCTTACGCACCTCTATCCGAAAAACAGCTTCTCGTGGATCTAGGTTGTGCTGATTCCAAGAGTTTGACAGAAGAAAAAAGAGATACAATTTTCGATAAAATTTGCGAACAGTACAAGACAATAGGTTGGGCTGTGGATGTCATATCTCCTAATGTTATTTCAAATAGCATGTATCGTCGTGTAAAAACTTCTCTGAACGAAGTGTCTATGAATTCCGCGATTGAACTAGCTAAATTAGTGATTGAAGCTGGTGCAAGAATCACGGAGATCTATGTAGACACAGTAGGTAAGCCAGAAAAGTATCAAGCCAAATTGGAGCAAATTTTTCCAGATATAAAGATAACAGTCGCGAAGAAGGCAGACTCCACGTATCCTATTGTCAGTGCTGCCAGTATTTGCGCTAAAGTCTCTCGTGATCATGCTATAAGAGCTTGGCAATTTCTCGAAGGATCGATAACGACAGAGTATGGAAGTGGATATCCAAATGATCCAGAGACTAAGAAGTGGCTGTCCGAAAATGTGGACCCCGTATTTGGGTTTCCGCATATTGTCAGATTCAGCTGGTCTACCGCTGAAAAGATTCTAGAATCAGATGCCTTATCCGTTGAATGGGAAGAAATGGAAGACGCAAGGATTCCTGGGGAGCAAAAGATTTCCAGTTTCTTTGCTAGATCACCAGATAAATCTTTCAAATCTCAAAAAAAGCGGCATCAATTTTTTACCGAAAGATGCCTCTTCAATACTTCCACATTATAATTTTTCTAATTTATATGCGATACAAGTAATATATACATCCACACGCACGCATACAGAGTTACAATTAAAAAGCTATTTCGAACTAAAACTTTTGTCTGATTCGTCGACGTAAACGCCGCTTTATTTATCAGAACGTTAAGTTAAAGATAAAAGTTCAATTTATGTACATATGTACAGTGTGCATTCTTACAGTAAAATACGATATGCAAAGAGTGGTTTTTTAACTCACTCTGTGTATTTCACTTGTAATTAACAATTAGGAATGTTATTTAGCGTAAAATGTTCTTTGGTAAAATACATTCTACATTCACACGCGTACACACGATTCACAATAATTTCTAGAATAACATACATATCTCTGCAGTTGATTAATAGCGACTAGATTGATAAAAGCTATGTCAAGAACACTCTCACCGGATTAAAATGTTTCTTGCTCTCTCATGCGACTGGACGATAGAAACACTCGTGTACAATTAGAATATAAATATACTCGGCATTTATTCGTTCATTCATTCATTCATTCATTGTTATTGATTATTATTTGTTCATTCATTTTGTGATTCCCTTAACAATAAAAGATAATAAAAGAGAAGGAAAGACAAAAAAGTACATAGAGCGGCAATTTCAAGAATCTGAAGATACAAAAGTAGATTTATAAATCGATATTTGTTTTTTAAACTTTGTTTTCTTGTATCAACAATTGAATAAAATCTTTTTTTCAAGTAACCATATGATGATATTTTTAATGAATCCTTAAATTTCCATGCATCTTATATATAAAAATCTAAAATTTAAAATTTCAAATTTAAAGATTTTAAATTAAATCTATAAAAATATTTTAAGTCCTAAAATTTAAGATTTAAATTTAAAACTTTCAAAGATATATCAAGCTTGTATAAAGAGGCAGTATATACGAGAAAAAATGTCGAAAGTATACAAATTGATGGAAGATGCACAGAGATTTATAAAGTGATTCAGCAAGTACGAATTTACACCCGTCTTTTCATTCTCTAACTTTTTAACATACTGACATATATTTTTATTAAGTATATTCTCTTGCCTATGTTCTCACTAACTTCACTAACTGCGATTATAAAAAATAGAAACAACACGGATAATTTAGTACACCAGAGGCCTCCATATGTCACGATTTGAGGAGACCTGAAAAGGATGAGCACGAAAAGGACGATGCACCACATCTTGAGTCTTCTTATCGTAGAATCAATATACTTGTCATCAGAAGGAAGATGCATGGTGCTAACATGTTGCTCCCGTTTCCTGAAATATAAATTAAAAGTAGTATTGAATACAGAAAAAAAGGTAAGAAAAAAAAAAAATGTCATGAAAAAATTGGAACATATCACGGCTTTAATTTAATCGATATTGGCGAGGGAATTACATTCACAGTTACTGACACAAGTTTACTGACATCTCGTATGTATCCATAAGTCAGCAAATTGCCGGCAAACGAACATGTCTCTGATTCGTTGTCACAATTTTTTTAACGATATTTCGCTGCGATATTTCTACGTGGATAGATGGATTTTTCTTTCTTGGCATCGATCTCGACGATTAATGTTTCAGTGGTTCGGAATCATTTATAGATTCTCCTTTCCAAGAGGAAAATATCCGTTTGGAAGATTAATACATATTTTAGAAAATTTAAGATAGTTAAGATTATTTTAAAATTATCAAATTACCAATTTTAATTTTCAAATTTAAATTTGGGTACAACAAATTTTTAAATTATATATAATTTTTTTTAATTTTAATAATATATAATTTTTATTCTTATATGGTATGTGATATTTATAACACATAACATAAAATTATTTATAACAATCTAATGAAATGATAAGTAATAAATATATTATTAAAGAACATAAACATGAAATATATTCATATTGAAGAATTGATATTGTCATTCATAAGTTTATCGTATGAGGGTTATTTCAAGTAATATATCAGTGATTTTCATATTACTGAAAACAATTTAGCATATTTCTGTAATACCTTTCTTCTTTATCAATAATTGATAAATTGATCAATTATGATTTTTGTTATTAACAGTGCCAACAGTTTTTTTTATCCATTAATTTTCACATAATAAACTAATCTATTTTAAATACATTTTTTTTATACAGGATCCATAGAAAATGAAAAATGAGAACCACTGAATCTCCTCCGCCAAGTGCACGCGTCCTTAAGCGATCTCTTCAAAGTGCTTTTCCTTCAGAATGGAAACTCCCACGAAAAACCGTCGTTCTACATTTTTGATGCTTTTCGTCCAGGGGAATAACTTTTTTACGACTTTACTTTAAGAAATATCATACGGGATAATTCAAATACATATTCCAGACAGCATATGTTTTAGAGACGGCCATTTCAAATCATAACGTCATAAACGTATTAAAAGATATATCACAAAAAGAGTTGAAAATCAATCATATTTAAATTTAATATATTTATATGTATCATTTTCTTACCTCCTAAGATATGTTCCGCATGCGTATGGCCTTGCGCCCTTGTCTCCCTGCTCTCCATAACGGGCATCTTGAGGGGCCTTTCACCCTCTATGCTGAGCTCGTTCGATTTCCAATATACAGTCGCTATCGTTGCCAGGCATTTGATCTTCAGATCACCCCTCTTGAAGTGCTTCGTACGCAGACGAAATTCCAGACCTAGCACAGCCGTTTCCAAACCCTCGCGATCCACCTCGGTGATGTGAGGCCCTCTCAAGTATTGCGTGTCGACCTGAGTCAAAAAGAAAAAAAATAAGAAAATGAAAAAGAAATGAGAGCAAAGAGTTGTTTCTCACGTACTAAAAAGAAAAGTAAAAGCACTTATGATTTGATATGAACGAGACTGATCAATACAAGTTATCGTTACCACGTGTCGAGTTGGATTGCGCTTCACCAGAGTTTGAAAAAATAATTGACACGCGACAGAAGACAGAAATAATTTATTAACAAATATTTAACCAGAATTTGGATTGGGTAATTGTTAATAGAACGGACATATAAGAGTCTATTATATGACTATAAAAGGTTTCTATAAAATATTCTTTCGCAGAGAGGCTTTGAATTCAGGTCAAAGAGAATGGCGAATTGAACGAAGTGTTAAATTATTTATGTTTAATATTTATTGAAAAGTGATGAACAAGAATATCCGGGTTAGATAATATGGGTCAGGATATACGTAGAGATCATAAAATTAGTCGAAGTTAAGGTAAGCATGTTTTGGCTTTCTGCGCAAGGGAATTGACAGAAATGCGAGGAGATAAGAAACTTGACTAAGGACTTTAACGAAGTTGTCCCATTTTATTTAAATATTGGGCATATAATTTCTTGCAACGTAGGGAATATAATTTTTTCAATATTTTAATCATTTAACTTTTTATAGAAATTTAAAAATGATATTTATTAATTAAAAAATTGTTTCTCTTCGTTCAAATTCATTTTCAATCTCTCTTTAAACATAAAAATGAATATCTTTAGAAAATTACTAATATTTTCAAGCATAAAATTTCTCTTAATATCTCTATCTTGTCCGACCAATCATATAAGCGGATATAATGGTATCCATAAGTGGTGTTGTTCATTCCGATGGAATGAATTTACAACGCTGCCATACCATTTATAACACTTCAATTAGCTGCTTTAAACGATTCGCATCGCTCGTCCAATTAACGGAACATCGTTGCCTGATGCAATATCACGCTATATTTGTTCTTCTGAAAATCGATATACTTGTGGCAAGGGCAAGAATAACGAACAATGGA